GCATATTGAGGCACTTGGGCCATCGGTGAAATAGCCGATGGTATAGGAGCTTTTCCTACTGCATCAAACACTTGAGGTAATCCAGGATTGAAAGCAGATGACTCCGGAGGCATACCATATCCCCACCAATTAGCGGGAATCGGCTATTTTGAGACCACGAGGACTGACATAGCTGATGCCGATAGATCTGTATTAAGCTGAATTCGTCCTCCTGGTAGTACCGGATCTGATCGTATCGGTGTAGATTGAATATTAGGTAAACCTACCGATCTTTGGAGAAAAGTAACCACGTACCCACAGCGGCCGAGGGAGCCGATGGAGTATTGGCGAGATGGGTTACGGTTGGTGATAGGTAGGCCCAACATAATGCGGTGGCGCTTGTCCTTCTTTGAGAGTTGAACCACGGCATTATGAGCAGTATTGGACAGCACATTGGAATGATTAATCAAAGCATGATTTATTGAGAATTAACCATCTCTTGAAGTTTACGAGGTTGGAGTCAAAGGTAACTTTGCCGAGGCAGCAGCAAATCTTATACGGATGACTTGTCCACTCTTGTTCGGGGCTAAAGCGATTTGAGACAAAGCTGCTGTATTCTTCTCTGACCTTTTCCATAGCTTTGCCTCTGCTCTTCCTTAAGATCTTCTTACGATACCGCGATAATGTTCCCGCATCGATCTCGGAATTGAACATATTGATCGGATTGATTGGTCCCACCGGCGTGCCAAAAGATGTGTTGATGCAAAAGTGGATCTGCAAACACAAAGGGCTAATACCGAATCGATATCCAAAGGCGTGCGGTCGATTTGACACATTAATCGACAAGGATGAAAATCGAGCACTTTGGTCACGACAACAGCGATCGCCCGAAAGTCACGGCCAAGGGGTACTCACAGCGGAACTCGAGAATCGCCGAAGGTCATGCTTTGAGACAATGCAACTCGCCGAATCAATGAGAACTCGTAAAAAGAAAAATATGCAAATTAATGAAGTCGTAGAAAAATAAGTAGATGTAAATAGGAGTAAAACTTGGTTTTGATATTGATTGATCCCCTATTACATTGCCCCTCACTCCATATTTATACCACGATCTAAAGAGACACAACCAAACACAACTAGGACACCAAGCCCATATCTAAGAAACACGTGACTCTTACATGAGTCATACTCTAACAAATATAGAAAAGGAAATCAACTCCTATCTATTTCCTGTCGCCTCAATTACGATGGAAATCTCACCGTCCTCCTTCCCATCGGCATACTCCTGTTTCATCGGCGGTAGTCTTCAAGTCTTCCTTCATCGGCATACTCCTGTTTCATCGGCGGTAGTCTTCAAGTCTTCCTTCATCGGCATACTCCACTGTTTCATCGGCCGGTAGTCTTCAAGCCTCAAGCCTCCTTCATCGGCATCGACAATAACACCTCCAACCTCATCGGCAGCGCCGAGTCTAAATCAACCTTTCCATCGACCACCACCAGCTATCGGCCACCACCTTTACAAAGTGGCTTTCGCCGGTTATCAAAGTATCTGATAACTTTCCCTTGCCGATCAGTCCACTCGATCATTTTGACACGTGCAAAAAGGGCTGGTAAGGACATTTAGTCCGGTGGTAAGACTAAGCGGGATTAAAGGTCCAACCGCCTTTAGTCGGCTCGCCTTACAAGCCGGGACTAAAACTTTAGTCCCGGTTGGTGTTACGGCCGGGACTAAAAAAATATTTTTAGGCGGCACGAAATTGCCGCCCACCCTTTAATCCCGGTTCTTGGCACGGGCCGGGATGAAGGCCAAAAATTTTGGCAACTTCGCTTGACGTAATTAGAAAGGCACAGGATTTTGATTTTGTTTAATACTAGGTTAATCAATTAATTCCATAGCAACTTCAATACTTTTGCAATATTTATTTTAAAAAATACTATTGATTAACTAATTATTTATTGTAAATAGGAAAATTTTGTAACCTAAAGTTTTTAATTTCTTTTATGAATATAGAATATAAATGTTACTAATACTAAGTATTTTGTTAATGCAAAAATATATTTGTAACTTAAAATTAATAAAACTAATATTATTCGATAGGAAATTTATTATCACATTATTATAGCGTCAATGTTTCAATTTTTTCTCGGTTTTGATCCAAAATTGACGGAAATGTTTGTTGAACCTATAAAAATAAAGAAAATGTAGTATTTTTGTTCTACAACTTTTTCAAATGAAAAAAATGGCCTATATAAGGATTGTAGATATTAATGAGCTGAACAAACTTGGTATTCAAAACTTTTCAATTTGAGACAATCTGGGGTTCCGAAAACTAGTTTGTAGGCGTTGAAATTTAAAAATCATAAATTTGAAACATCCAAACTTTCTCAAATGGAAAGTTGACCAAAACAACAATTGTAGATATTTTTGAGTTTAACAAACTTGGTATTCAAAACTTTTAAATTTGAAGTCATTTAGAGTTCATAATACTAGAGTCAAAGTGTTATTTTTTCATTTAACCAAATTTGACTTGGTCAAACTTGCTCAAATGAGACACTAAATGACCTCGGATGAAAAAACTCTGAATACCAATTTTGATCATCTCAGCAAGATATACAATTGTTACATAGCTCATTTTCCCATTTGAGAAATTTTTATCAAACACTAGTCACAACTTCTTGAATCTCATATAAACTTTCTAAAACTATGTCACACACTTGTGAAATTTGAACTACATTTTGTTTAAGCTTTCTCAAATGAAAAAATGGCATATATAAGGATTGTAGATATTGATGAGCTGAACAAACTTGGTATTCAAAAACGTTTCAATTTTAGACAATCAGGGTTAGAAAACTAGTTTGTAGGTGTCCGAAATTTAAAAATCACAAATTAGAACCGTCCAAACTTTCTCAAATGGAAAGTTGACCAAAACAACAATTGTAGATCTTTTTGAGTTTAACAAACTTGGTATTCAAAACTTTTCAATTTGAAGTCATTTAGAGTTCATAATACTAGAGTCAAAGTGTTGTTTTTTCATTTGACCAAATTTGACTTGGTCAAACTTGCTCAAAAGGAGACACTAAATGACCTCAGATGAAAAACTCTGAATACCAAGTTTGATCATCTCAGCAAGATCTACAATTGTGAAGTCATAACATCTCAAGCAAGAACAATGACAAAAGCTGAAGAGCGAGGCGGTGAGTTTGAATGGAATGGCTCGGGCTCGGGGAGGAAGAAATGAGGCGTTGTATAGGCCCACATAATTAGTCTGGTTGGGTGGCCAAACCGGGACTAAAGATTAATATTTATTCCGGGTATCACCCAAACCGGGACTAAAACATTTAGTCGGCTGATATAGCCGGGACTAAAGGTAAAGGTTTACCTTTAGTCCCGGTTTACCTTTAGTCGGTTGGTAATACCGGTTTGGGACTAAAGATCCCCACATGCAGACGACCGTTGGGCAGGAACCTTTAGTCGGTTGGTATTACGAACCAGGACTAAAAAGGTCCTTTAGTCCTCGACAAAAAAATACCGAGGCTAATGCCAAATTAGAACATCGTTCTAAAACACATTCTCTAGTAGTGTAGTAACAAATATTCAAGGTTAGAGGGCGAACTTGTGAATGAACGAACAAGTTAACGAACATGTGAATGAACTACATAACAAATGTGTCAAGAAATGAGTTAACGACTGTGTGAACGAACAAATAACGTTTGTGTGAACCAAGGAGTTTACGAACGTGTGAACCATCAGTGACTTAATGATATAACCCGTATGAACTAATCAGTATTTTCCTCATAAAAAGGAACTAATAACCAGTATTTCACAAAATCATGTAAAATGTGCAGATTAATACTAAAATGAAATGCAATTCTATTGCGTCTTCGAGAAAAAACCCAGTAATTAACTGAAAGTAAAATAATTACTACCAAAGTACCAAGCCCATTAACAATGAAGAGCATATCAGCCATGTTACCACTAATACTCTCATTATTATATCTAATAAATCTTAAAAGCACATATCTATATTCTGAGACGGATGGAGTAGTACATGATGTGTTTTGGGTTAATCCAATATATAACAACCTAATAATAAAAGAAAAACAATAAAGACGACTACATCGATATAGCTGAAAAATTAAAATAAACAAAAAAGATTATTCCAGGTCAATAGTGCGACGTTCATCTTCATCACAAAGCTTGTTTCCTTGGAAGTCTCGTGTGGCAGTATCTATCTTTGCTTCTTCGATCTGGATCACTCCATTTAGAGAGCACGCCATGGGTAGAAAATAAGCCAGCACGGTCGAGGCGCCACAGCCGCACGAAACTCTATCCACATCCACAAGATATCAGCTGCGTCTGCGTGCAACAATGCAAAGCATCCCAACCAAGTGCCTATTTAGTTCCCAAAATTTTGCAAAAATTTTTCAAGATTTTTTAATCACATCAAATCTTTGGACACACGCATGAAGCATTAAATATAAATAAAAAATAAAACTAATTACACAATTTAGGACGAAATTTACGAGACAAATCTTTTAAACCTAATTAGATTATGATTGGACATTAATTGTCAAATAACAACGAAAACATTACATTACCATTTCCCAAAAAATTTCGTCAACTAAACAAAGCTGCAAGCAACCACACGTACGTGTTCTTATCTCCGTTGGGCTGCTGCTGCATGCCCGGTCAATGTTGGCAACTGGCACGTGGAATTTCAAAGGCCAGTCGTCGACTATTCGTCGACGCCAGTTCCGTTATCAGATTCAACTTGGAGAAAAGTCAGATTTGCATGCAAGGCGACTTCAGCGCAGTTAATTTTGGCGCAGATTTCGGACGATCGAGAAGAGTCAGTAGTGCCCTGCTCTCTCGGCACCTGCTGTATCTATCTCTATATATAATGGCCATATCGATCTCGCTCGTAGAAACAAGTAGCTACATACGTCCTCCATTAGCAGCTAGTATCAAGGATCAGAGTAACCTCAACACATCGGTTGCATTACTGCCATATATGGCGGGGATGACAGTCGGCAAGAAGCTGGCGCTGGCTGCGGTGCTGCTGTGTGCGCGGCGGCGGCCATGGCGACGGCGCAGCAGGCGTCCGGCGTGCGCGCCACCTACAACTCTCTACAACCCGGCGCAGAACAACTGGAACCTAGCTGGGACGTACTGCGCCACGTGGGACGCCGGCCAGCCGCTGTCGTGGCGCAGCAAGTACGGCTGGACCGCCTTCTGCGGTCCTGCTGGCCCTACCGGCCAGGCCGCGTGCAGGCAGTGCCTCCTGGTAACGTTACTAGCCAGCTACTCCCTCAGTTATAAATTATGAGTCGTTTTAATTTTTTTTCACCTATTTTGTTATGTATCTAGATATATTATTATATCTATATGTCTAATAAAATGGACGTGCTAAAAAATTAAAATAACTTATAATTTGAAACGGAGGGAGTACCAACTAATCAAGTACTGGTCAGAAACATTGAGTAGTGAGCCCTGGATATGTGCATGCATGCATATGCAGGTGACGAACACGGCGACGGGGGGCATCGCTGACGGTGAGGATCGTGGACCAGTGCAGCAACGGCGGGCTGGACCTGGACTACGACACGGCGTTCAAGCCGCTCGACACCAACAGGGGCAGGCATCCAGGCCAGCCACCTCACCGTCAACTACCAGTTCGTCAACTGCGGCGACAACTGATGTCATGATTATTCTTCGTACCCATATATGTATGTGATCCCACACGTACGAGCCAATAAGTGGGCGTCTAATTGCAATCATTTCTATTGAATCAGCAGAATAAAGTTAAGTTGCATATATACATACCCATATATAAAAGAGAATTCCTTATTTGACATCGGAAAAATGAGTCGTTCCTTTCTTGGCCCTGAAATTTTTATCGTTACTTATTTGACACTCACTTGAACTTCTATTCCTAATATGACACCATGATCAAATCATTAGCTAACGGTGTTAAGTGGCTGTTAAAAAACTTTTTTGCCCCTGGGCGCTGGCGCATGCATACAGCGCATGCATGCAGCGCTGGACGCCCGACATGCAGCGTGAGCAGCCCGGCGCCGATACACCACATCTTTGGCGTCCGGCGCCTCTGCTTGCGCTGCATGCATGCGGCGCCCGGCGCCGTGAGGCAAAAGGTCTTTTAATGACCACTTAACACCGTTACCTAACGGATTTTGCTCATGTGTCATATAAAGATGAAAGTTCAAGTGAGTGTCAAATAACGAAGAGGGCCAAGTTAAAAACGACTCATTTTTCGATGTCAAATAAGAAATTCTCTATATATCGCTATATCTACCAAGCACTACTCGAAACAAGAGCTTTGTCGTGTGCCGGGGCATACGGCAAAGCCTAAAAACACTCGGCAAAGTCTTTGCCGACTATTACACCTCGGCAAACCATAATCGACAAAAAAAGGCTCGACAAAGCTGTCTTTGCCGAGTGTTTTTGTCGAGCAATCGGCAACGACTTTACCGGAAAGTGCTAAAATCGACACTCGGCAAAAGACTTTTTAAAAATATATAAAAACCACCACCGCTGCCGCCCGCGGCCCCCCGCCGCCACTACCACACCGCCCGCCACCATGCCTGCCGCCACCACCACGCCGCCACCTCAGCATAGCAAGGTTTCAGTTGCGAACGCAACCCCTTCCTCGACTGGAAGGACTCGCTACCTCACTTGTTCCAGCAGGTGGGGTGGGCAGCAAGAACACAGGACGAATGGCAGATGAAACTGAGCTAAGCAGTAAGAGAAAAAAAACCCAAACTTTGCAGTGTTTTTTTTCCTTGTTTGATGGGTGTTTTGTTTCTAGTTTGCCTAGTGTCAAACTTTGTCGGGTGTTTTTCCTCATTTGCCGAAAGTGCAATTATTTTGTTGACTGTTTTTTTAGCACTCGACAAAGAGTTTGTTTTGCTGAGTGCCGATGAATTACACTCGGCAAACCCTATTACCCCGGCTTACCTGTTATTTCCGGTAGTGCAGTGGAATAAACTTAATTACGTGAGTACTCGACTACTCGTGTGTCCGATCATGTCGCAAGAAATGCAAAACACCTCAAGGTGAATGGACTGTTCCATATCTTCGGTGGATTCTACGGTTCTCACGCTGGACACCTGCGGTTTAATTATATATATAAATAGTGCATACTTTTTCCAATTCAGGCGTTGTTTGGATGCACATCTATCCACATGTGTTGAGGTGAATTGGGTGAAATTATTAGTTTAAGTTCCACTCCAGTCCACTTTAACATATGTAAATTGAAGTGGATACATGCGCATCCTAAATAAGGCCTTAAATATTTGAGACCTTAGTAGTATCGCTGCAATACATATGCATGTTGGTCATAACAATCGTATAAATCGTTAATCATAAAACAATATTAAGGGCCCAAGATGCTTTCATTGTAATGTGAAAACAGAAGAAATGGTCAACTTGAGAGCTATGCATCCATCTAAAACTTTACCATCCACTACTCGCCACTATCTACTAGTATATGAAAGCTCAACTTGATGACCATTATAGATTTTCTTCCTTCCTACCGGTCCATCGCTACTACAATATGTTAAGATAGATAGACTCTGGGCCGTGCACCCTTGGGCCATGCGCCCTTATCCCAAGTTTGTTACTTGGCTTGTAATATAAGATAGGAGAAGGTTGTTTGCTAACTTGTGTTGTAATCCAATCTGTTGTAAACCACGCCATGGGACTGTTCCTAGCACTATTTAACACGGAACCGAGAGCCAAGGAAGGCATCTCGTTCTCCCCATTTCTACAAGGTATTCAGAGCCATTCTCCTCACAGAAACCTCCCATGGCGTTCCACGCATTCCCCTCTTCCTCCTCCACAGCGTCTGCTACTCCATCAGTCGGTTTCTCCGTGACCGAGAAACTCACCCGCAACAACCATTTCCTCTGGAAGGCGCAAGTCCTATCCGCCATTAGGGGAGCTCAGCTAGGGCACCACATCCACCCCTACCACACAGCCGCCATCTTGTTTCCTTGATCAAGGCGACGACAAGAAGGCGGAGCCTAAACCCAACCTGGATTATGATCCGTGGTTTACCAAGGATCAGCAGGTCCTATGTTTTCTGCTCTCCTCGCTTTCCAGGGAGATTCTTGCACTACAAAAAATCTGGGCTTTATAACAAACTGAAAGTGTCATGGAAAGTATAGGATTTGTCACAAAATGAATGGTATGACAAAAACCACCATCATGAAGATCGTCACAGAAAGACCGTCGCTAAATGTACCTTGTGACGATAATATGGATAACCGTCACAAAATGTGATGACCTTTTGTGACGGTTATGTTTTATCGTCATATATTATTGTCATTTAATGGCGATTGTAACTGTCACATATTGGTTGGTCAAATCGCCATTTAATACGTCAACTGTCACAAATTGTTCATTACAGCTCAGTCTCACAACATTTAGCCCACTCAACGTCAAAGCCCACAATTTAGCCCAACAATATGACCAACCCAGATGACGCCCATTTAAGAGAGATACATTAATTGATATCACTGATTAATAATAATTCACAACACAAATACAAAAATTGACTGAGTAAAATAAAATCATTACATCCACGCTAACAATCTCTGCTTGCTGATTTACTGGCAGGTTGAATAAAGTATTAGCTTAAAACATTGCTCTACAGGCCAATAATCATATCCTCCACGCTAACAATAATCCAATGTAATTCAGATCATCAGCTCCAAGGATTCATATATACACTCAAATACACAAGATACAGAACCTTGTGAGCAGGACACAGTGGAATTTGTTAGCACAGCAACAATGCGAACATCCAGACAGCTAATCCAAGAGAATACATCACATTTGCAACACCATTTAAAGAAAACTGCAGCAAGAGTTCTGGATCACTGCAGTAAGTAGAGCATAGAAGCGTTAGAGATAAAATGGTCTACAGCTCTGATAAAATTTTAGTTCTTTCTAAAGAAGTAAAATTTTCAGCAGTAAAGAATTCAACCTCAGATCCATCACGTTTGTGGATGAAGTCAGCAACTTCCTTCCTATTTCCAGGGATACCATGGGAATCACTATACGCACCTGATGGTCAAATAAAAACCTTTGTCATCAGAGTACTCATAATCTCATATGGCTATGAACCTACGGCGACAACACATACAACTGATAAAAGTTGTTTATTTTTTTTTATTATTTAGACTGCAAAAGGTTTAATACATTGTACTCATTATATGGACCTTGCAGGAGCCAGGAAGACAACATTAATCAGGTTTGGTCAGACATGTGTTCCTCACTATAACCATATTACAAAAACAAGTATAAACGGAATTTACCTATAAAGAGTTAAAGAATATCAAATGCAATATTCATATCAGATAAAAGATAAATATTAAATTACTTTAGAATTTTCTTGTAATATTCTTCGATGCAACATTGCAAAAGTATCACAAATAAACAACGTCTTCAATAGGGTTAGTTATCCAAATTAATAGCAATAATCACCAATTCAAGAGTTTGTCATTGGATACGCTTTATGACTGCATTAATTCATGGACTTGTTTCTCTTTATACTAGTAACTAATAATACATAGATATACATACTATATATACGTACTAGTATCTGGGAGGCTCCTTGGTGCCGAGTGCCTAGAGTGGCAAATATAGAGGGCAAATAAATATATTAAGTTCTGGTGTGAGCTGTTTTTTTTATTTACTAAACACTCATTTTTAAAACAGTTTCATAGGTGAAGTTGTTTTTCTCCTCCTCTCACAAAGATATGAGTTGAGATGAAGCTGAAAAAAGTAGCTTATTCTAGCTTCATCTCCTATATTATAGTCATTTTATTCATTGTTCCATCATGTGAAGCTGATTTGTCAAACACTTGTTCCAAAACAACTTGGCTTCGACAAAAAAGTTGCTTATGAAGCTATTTTGTAAAAAAAACAGCTTATATGGTGAAGTTGAGCTGTGGCAAACGGGGCTAAATAGTAAATATGCTAATAATCCATTGATCTTACAGCAGTCTTACGGTACAATCAACTAGTGATTTCTGGACCTTTGATTTTGCCCTACACAATGTTGGCTCCCAACTGCAAGGTTTTATTATTCAGAGTTTAATCGAAACACCTACTGTTCTAAAACCTATAGGACAAATACGTTGAGAAGACAGAAAAAGGCTATCTAGAAATAGCAAATATACATATGCTGCACAACGCACTGCCTTTGTGAGCTAGTGAGCAATCCATGCCCACTAAAACTGCAGTGAGCGTACACCGAGAGACAGTCCTCGGACAGCCAATCCTACTGATGGAGCCCTCTAACACAGCCACAACAAATACACGAACCAGAGATTCAGGCATATGAGACACAGTATATTCATCTCAACCACAATCAGGTGAGGATGAAGAGAACGCGTGACTGACTCCCAGATCTACTACCACAATCCACCAACGCCAGCACTGGAACGAGGATAAGTCAAAGAGCAGAAACCCAAGCTGCATTTGAGCGGAAATATCAGCAGCCAAACGCGAGATCCTACCTGGCTTGCAGCAATGTGGAGGAGCACCCTGCGGATCCTACCTGGCTCGTCGTGAATCCGGCTGAGAGGAGAAGAAGGCGACTATCCCGTAGTCGATCCGGTCTGGGAAGAAGAACGGCTGCCACCCGTCGTCGATCCGGCCAAGGAGAAGAAGGCGGCCACCTCTTCGGCCGGTGGCTAGGGGTTTCGG